AGAAATGGTGAGCAGCTGTGGACTGCTTCATGGATCTCAGGAGGAGTGTAGATTTTGGGCAAAAGGTGGCTTGATTGGAGAGGGTTATGCCTTACATTTAGGTCCCCTCCCATAACATTTGCTTTCCTGATGAGTCTTTTGTAATTCAGAGTGCCCCAGAGACTTCAGCCTCGCAAAAAATGGGATAGACTCAATGTCTCATCGGGCATGGAGGTGTCGTTGGCCCCACTCTGGAGGGCAGCGTGCCAAGGAGAGGCGTGGATGGGTGCTGGCAGGGAGCTACCACATCTGAGGGTGATGTGGAGAAGGACATTTGATATCTGGGATAGGAGAGGAAGGTGAGGAAGGCAAGTGATTGTCCCTCGTGACAGGGTACCAACTGGTATCAAACGTCTGCAAGGCACAGGAGCTTTCAGGTCCCAGAGCCATCCCGAAATAGCGGTGAGAGGGGTATGGGGCAGCTGGAGGAAAAGAGGAGGGATGCTATGTGGAGGGAGGAACCAGAGATGTGAGGCTCTGATAATTCCTTTTTCTGTTTAAGTAGGGACACAGGGAGGGCATGCTCACAGAGCAGCCTGCTGTCCCCTTGCCAAGAACTGGGGGACAGAAGGCTCTGGCCCTCTGGGATCTGCTTTTTGTTGGCTTCCCCCATCCCTCCCCCACCTCCCAGCTCTTTTGCGTGGGATGGAGTTTGCTCTGTGCAGGGACCTCTCCCTGCATCCCCATCTGGCACATTTTTCTACTTAGATGACAGTTCAGGAAAATACAAGCCTGTGCTGAAATCCATCCTTTGGATGTCCCTATTTGGGACATTGCTTAAGCTCACACTTAACTTTGAACCACAGTGCATTAAAGAGGACAGGAGGATGTGGTTAATGTTAAGCACAGGTACAAGGATGGGCTGGAGGAGGAGATGAGAGTGCTCGCTGACCCGCGCCCCTGTAAGGTGCTTCTGCAGCAATCGAGTTGCTCCTGTTGTTCTACATCATTCAGGCAGAGTCAGGCCCAGCACGTTTCTATCGTGTTTAGATTAATTTAATCAAGGTATGCACTTCCAAAACACATAACTAGGTGACTTACCTGCTAGATGTCTTCTCTGGAACACAGAAGGACCAAACTCTCCTGGTTGTTACCTGCCTTTGTACAGCAGAGATAAATCAATGTGTATGCCAATGATGTGATGCATTTGCCTAACTCATTTTTCCACGGTGTCATTTGAAAAGTGAAATAAGTCTTGCTGATGTCACGTTGTCCTGTGGGTTGTCACCTCCCTATAACTTTGTGTTCTTCTTTCTCCTTTGGCACATAACCAGCTATGCACGTGGTGCATGGACTCTTGAAGGGTATTTTTAACCTATTGCACTCAACCATATTTGGTTCTCTTCTCAAAATACAAATGCCTTGACATGTTTAGATATGCAATGATGGGCTGGGGGTTTTTTGCCTCAGGGAAAGGAATGTAACATATTGTGAGTGAACTCCACATCCTCATGTATGGAGTACAACTGGCCTTTGGAGAAAATCCCCCTGCTGATTCTCTTCTCTTTTGGGATTTGTTGCACCAAATAGCCACATTCATTTCTATTTCTCTGTTGAAGTTTGCAAGACCAGGAAAGAAAAAAAAGCAGTTTTATAGTGCAATTATCACAGTTGCTGTAAAGGATTTTATTTGCTTTCCTCCTTACTGTGGTGGGGCAGATTTTGTGCTGCGTAAGTTTCTGACCTGCGCAAGAGGAAGAGAAAGCGTGAACCTCCGAGTCTCCTTTTCAGCCACAGCCCTCTGCTTTTCTGTTCACCCAGCAGATGTTACAGGAGGGCTCCATACAAAGCCTGTCTTCTTTTTTTCTGATACAGACCATTTTCACTCATGCAAATTATAACCTAGAATTGAGTTTCCCTTTAACTGTTTTCCTAGCACCAAGTTTTGTGAGTAACTATAGGCATTTTTACACTTCCAGCGTTATTTGCAGCTCCCTTTCTGCTCTTTTCTCTGCAAGTGATGAGAACAACTCCCACTGATCACTTGTCTGCAGCTACTTCACATTGTGAGAGGGTCCCTTCTGCTCCAAGAACACTTGTTACCAGTCACCTGGCACCCCTGCTTCTCCCCTCTCCCTCCTCTGACTGCTGCCACCATGTCCTGGTTTAGCTGAAATAGAGCTGGGTTTCTTTCTCAGTAGCTAGCATTGTGCTGTGTTTTGCTTCCAGCCTGGGACTGGCTGTGAGAGAGGCACTGGTAACATACCAATGTTTACATTTTTATCACTGGAAGTGAAGGACTTTGTGTTCTGTTAGTCCACAAGCACAAGATTTAAGGGGGGAGAAGAATATTTAAATTAATAAACTTAATTGACAATTAGATATGCCAATGGGGTATTCCATATCATATCACGTCATGTCCAGTATATTAGTGAGGGTCTCTTCCTCTTTTGTCTCTCTCTGGCTTTCGCTCGGGCTCTCGCTCTCCTGGGATTGCGGTTTTGGTTCAGGATTGTCACTCCTCCGGGATCATTATCTGGGAACAGGCCAGGCTCGGTCAGGAGGGGGGTGAGCAGTAGCATTGGGTGTCATTCACTTGCATATTTTGTTACTGTTACCACTATCACTACTATTTTAATATTAGTATTATTTTAAGTTTTCTCTCTATTATTAAACTGTTCTTATCTCACCCTACAAGCTTCCTTATCCTTGCCCCCTCAGTCCTCTCCACTATCCCCTGGGGGTGGGGGGGAAGTGGGTGAATGGCTGTGTTGTCTGCTGGCCAAGGGCTAGCCCAGTGAAACTATCACACACCATCACGACAAATGCACTGGGTTATGGAAATCGCTTCACAGGAGCTGTAGGAGATGGTGTTCTGTAGCCATCTGCCTCCTTATGTGGCTGCAGCAGGTCTGGGGAGAATAAAAAGCCTTGGAAACAAATGCAGTCTGGTCTTGAGGTTATGGCCATGTGTTAGAACAGAGTAACGATGAAAGTGGCAAGTCAGCCAAAGATGTCATATTTCAAAAAGAGGTTGTTCATTTAAGCGCCTGTGAGATTTGGGAACCCAACATCCTAGGGAGAGTTAGTGGCCTCAAGGCTTCTCTGTCCTTCGGCACTTTTGAAATATATCATCCTTCCTTAAGGATATTAATATCAGAGCTATGTAAAGTCAAGTCTTCAAAAGAGAAATAAACGGCATAAAGAGCTATAAATAGGAAAAGGATATTCCAGAATCAACATCCTCTTAAATAATTTTTCTCAGAGTAGATCCTTTTGGGGTAAAGTTACATATTTAAAATGTAAACTATTTGCCTACTGGGCACCTAATTCAGATTTCTCTCTGTCACACCCCCCCCAGAAAAGGGATCATATAAGAGGAGGCAAAAAGGGAAAGCAGTATCGAATGAAAGGGAACAGAAGTTAAGGGAGCAAAAATAGGGGATGATGCTCCACTAAAAGGAACATTTCCAGCATTAGGATGATAAACTGAGCTAATAAACAGAGGGAATATGGGATTATACAGTTAAAGAGGAGGGGAAAGGGAGCCACATAGAACATGAAACAAAAGGAAAAGGTTCAGAAGAAGATGGTAAGAGAAGGTTAATTACAGAAATTCCTTGAAGACAGTGGTAATTTCAATATTTATTTTTTTTTTAAATATTATAGCAATCTCTGTTAACATTCCTTAGCAATGGTACCTACTTCACAATGTGGAACTGTCTCACTGTGTCTAAGTAGTTTTCTGCAGTCCACACTAAATATAGGACTTTCAGCATAGTTTTCAAGTAGCTCTTTGATGGATCTATTATTTTTTAATGATATTACAATTTAGAAAATTTTATAGTATAGAGGGATTTCTTCTACCCTACCTCATCCGTTCCCCACACAGACTTTGTCTCCTGTGTACAGCTGCGGAGGAGACATGTATTTTGGGCACCAGTAACTAGGAGATGAAGCGGACACACAAACCTGCTGGGGATGGGAGGGCAGTTGCTGCACCCTGTGTTGCTCTGGGGAGTGGGATTTTTTCCACCTTGACCTAACAGGCAGTGACCTTCCATGATGTTCAGATCCAAACTAGGACTTGAAGCTGTGGTTCTCATTTAATAAGGTTTGGCATTTTTCTCTTGGTCCCCAAATAATTTTTAGTGTAATTGGGGGCAAACTGTGTGCTGTGTGCTTCACATAAGGCATGGGCAGCTCCTGGTAGGACATAGGGCTGTCAGGTCTTGTGAAGGACTGTGCCTCTGAGAGCGTCCATGCTTTTGCTCAAGTGGAGGCTGTGGCCCAGAGCCCCACCATCCCCTTTGGGGGTTGGTTTTGTGTATTTTTGCTCAAATGGCAGAACAGTTGTTACCTAAAGGTGTGGCAGTTTGATACAAGCAATGGTAGGCTTAAAAGTGAAACGAAACAGTCTGTTTTCTGACGCTGCTCACAGATAACCCCCACAATACAGCAGGACCAGCTGCAAAGGTCCCCGCTTTCGGCACTGAGCATGAGGCACATGTTGCATCAGCAGGAGATGCTGGAGACTTCCTCACACATCACCTCTCCATCCCTGGCATCTCGGGGTGGGGGCATTCCTTTGCTCTGCCCTGGTTTGTTCTCCCATCGCTATTGCAGCGTGGCAGGGGAGTGTCAGCCAGAGCAAGATGTGGTTCTGTGCCAGGCTCCTGCCCTCTTTTTGGGATGCACTGTGCAAAGGATGGGGGGGGAGGGAGGGCTTGCCAGGCGGGTGCACTGACCTCACAGGAGCCCCATAAATGAGTGTGGCTCATATATCTCACTCTTAAGTAATCTGGCTCTGGAGACAGGGTGAGACATCTTGATTTAGACCTGCTTGAAATTTGCTGAGCTGAATTTCTCTCCCATGCTTTCGTTTTGCTTGTTTCTTTTTGTATACATCTTCTCACACACATACACATGCACACACACACCCCCTCCTGCCCTCTCTTCTCTGTATACCTGTTATTTTGATGCTAGTGTACTGTAGCATTCATGTCTGTGTGCTTTCCCAGGCCGTTCATTGTGCTGCCTCCCCTGATGGAGTGGATACGGGTTGCCGTGGCTCACGCGGGGCACCGACGCAGTTTCTCGGTGGACAGTGATGACGTACGGCAGGCAGCGAGGCTCTTACTGCCGGGAGTTGACTGCGAACCTCGACAGTTAAAGTAAGTCCACAAAAAAAAAAATGATCTGCTTTGTGCAAAACGTGTGTCTCTTTCCTAGTGATGACGAGCAAGCAGGCAGGCAGAGGGCTCTGCTGTTGCCTTGAGAGGTGCATGGATGCTCGGGCTTGTCGCTGTGTGCGTTGCAAAGTCGTCTCCTGGTATTTGCTCACATCCGTGGATAAGCCGGTTGCATGGTAATGGGTGCCTGAATATCTCACAGCTGGATCGAGCCCGTAATCTGCTCATATGGTGGTTTGGGGGGTTTTTTTTTTTACACTTACTATTAGGCTCTGCTTGCTAATGAGGGGCTGAAATCTGCTAATTGTCTGCTTCACGTTACTTTGTTATAAAATACCAAAATGTAATTGGCAGGGCTGCAGGTATTTTTTAGGGCTTTGTTTTCAGCATTGTGCTTAAAGGGCACATTTAAACTTATAGGTAAGACTACCTCTCACAGTAAAATTGTATTTTTCATGCTAATGTTGGCTCAAATTAGTTGTAAATGTCACCCTAGATAATTTGACTTTTTCATGTTTCAAATGTGACCTTTTGGTTTTCTAATGAAGTCTTAAAAGTATTTATTGCCAGGATATGTTTTTAATGTCTGTATTGTCTTACTGTTATGTACATGTATAAAAAGCATGATCTAGGGCTGTTCTGGAGTAAAGAATATATTTGGTTTTGACTTTCATATGAAAAGGCATTCTGAACCTGGCAAAGTAGAAATTACTCACTGCTATTGCTTCACAAATTTGTACATAAACCCCAGTTTTCAGCGGTCTGCCTCTTCATACAGCAGTAGGTGCATTCTTTCCTGCAACACAGAAAGCAGAGGGGGTGATGTGACAGCCTGCATCAGAGCAGCTGCCTTCTGTCGACTCTGGCCTTGACATGCTCTTTCACCAGAGAGTATAATACGTTACTTCGAGATCTGGATAGGCTTTTTATAGTTGCAGCTATTCAATAATTAATTGAAGAAATATGTTGAATTTCAAAAGCGAAAACTTTAGTGTTTCAGATTTCAGATCTTGAGTGTTACTGCTTCTCTTTGGTGTAACCATCTTGGCCCTCATTTCCAGAAGTGCAGTGTTCTGTGTCCCTACTGAAATGTCAGCACTTATAGGTACGACACATTTTCTGAAGACCTAGCACTTGGTTTTGACAGGGTACAATTAATTTAATATCTATTCCAGTATTTAGATGAGATTGCAAATAAGGCAATGATGTTTCTACTCTACATCCTCTGGCTTAAAAATTAACGTAGATATGGTTAAATATCTGTGGATTAAAAAAACCCACAATATACCATTCTTAAAGTTATATTTTGTTAGTGTGTGTGTGTGTGTGTGTGTATATATATATATATGTATATAAAAATACCATCAACTGTTAGACAGTTTTCCAGGAGTTTCAAAACAATTTGAAGTTGGTGAGAGTTGTATTAGGCTGCAGAAGAATTTATTAATTGTGACGAACAAATCAGCACTTAGTTTAAAGTTACAATCAAGAATTAATTTCATGAAGAATAGAAGTGATTGCAGTTGTCCTGCTTGTCTTGCAAGTGGGAATGAGCCTGAAGGGCTCAGCTTGGGATTAATTGGGTGAGAATGAAAAGAAAAATAATTCCTGAGACAAATTCTGGATTTTAGAGAGACCAGACTTTGCAGTGTGCACTTACGTGACTGCAGGGGCCCGATTCACCCACTGACATCCCAAAATTACAGTCTTACTCTACTGTGCTGGCAGAGGTCTGCAAATAAGTGCCCGCATACTTTGAGTTTTGTTTTAAGGTCTGTGTCTGCTGCTAGTGTAGTGCAGCAGGTTCTTTGCATAGCTGCGAGTCAGACCTCAACTGCCTGTAATCCTGAGATTAAAGGAAGGACTGAGGTTTTCTGAAGAATAATGTGAGGCATCAGGATGTTAAATTGAAATGTTGCAGCTTGAATTTTTTCATTTTTATACAGTGCAGACCCTCAGCACTTCTCATTTCCACTAAGCCAAGCACCAGCCTTTCATGCCTCCCCATTAGGGAGGGAGTGTTTCCAACTATCAACTCCTCAGGAAGCATCAATTCCATAAATGCAGACTTGGGAGCAGGGGAAAAACGCAGCTTTGCAGGGGATGGCTTTTCACGTAAACTATGTGATAGATGACAGCTGCAGGATTTTACATGCATTTAGCTTGATATATTTTGTGACTTTTATAGAAAGGGCTTTATAAGTAGAACATTGAAACTGATTCACTTTCTAGGCTTCTCTTAGCAGTCATCTTTAGTCTCTAAAATATAGAGACCTGAACCCAAAACTTCCCATGGTCCCATGTGATATTGCATCATTCCACAGTGTTGATTCACAACCTGTCATTGCAAACATTTCCACGCTGGAAAAATATGCATATGGGGAGAGGGAGAGCGAGAGATTGGCAGGATCTCAAAGGGTATGAAGTTCAAAATCAATTTGGATAAAAAACAAATGCTCAGTTTCTTATCTGAACTACAGCATGGAGGTCTCCCAGCAGATCCATGTGATACTTCCTAGCACAATCACTTGCTCCAGCAGTGAGGTCCCCAATATATGGCTTTGTAAATCATCCATGCTTTCTTCCTGCCTTTCATTCCAATACTTGTCTTTCTCCTCTCTTCTGATCCTTTTTCTAAATCCTTCGCCTTAATTTATTGCAATGTTTTCATCTCCTGAAAGAGGAGCTGCTCTTGCTCTGGGTAGAGGAGGGGAAAGCTGGAATCAGGCAGGAGCTGCCTCTCTCCTTCCTAATCTCTCTTAATTTTACAGCAGAAGACATGACAGAAAGTTTCTTCCCTTTCCCCAGCCTCGGGAGATGAGCAGAAATAGAAATGTTCCCCTTCTTCCAGGAGTCAAAGCTTTAAATAGAGTAGTTGTCTCTACCACCTTTTGCAAGGAGGTAGGTTTCACAGATGGATTGTCTGCTGGATGCACAACAGCTAGCTGAGACAGAAGCCCAAGTTGTGTCCAAAATACTCTGTCATAGTGGGAGACCAGACTTGTACACAGGTGCAGGGTGAGGCAGCTGGAACTGTGTAGTCAGTAGAGAACTGTGTGTACAATAGTTCTCTCCTGGCATAAATCTGGTGAAGGTGGATGCTCTGCTCCCTGCTCTACACCTTTTATTAATGAAAGCATCAGGGATGAAGGTAATTTGTTGAAAAAAAGGGGTACAGTGGTAAAAACTGTATTGACCTCCCTTTCTGCTGCATAAAGTAGCATCTCTTCTCAGTCTGCAATGGGTCTGGCTGGCTGCAAACAGATGCCTGATTTTGGCTGCTCCTCATCATCACATCTGCAAGGGATACCTTTCCGCTTGCTCCAGCTAAACACAAGAAGCCCTTTGGATGTCTTTCCTTCCTCCATTCTATGGGACAATTGTTTAAAAAAGAACACAACACAATGTTAGATGTGCTAGGGGGGATTGCTAATGGATGACTACATCTGGGGACTGGAGGGAGGCTGATGGCAGAGAAACAGAACAAGGGAGGAGCATCATGTATTGCTCAGCACAAAGGCTGCCATGCTTTTTATCGGGGTCAATGGCTTAATTTCTGGTTGCAATATTATCATGGCAATCCTGGAGGATGTAAAGATGCTGGAACAAACTGAACTGAGAGATGTGGTAATGTCATGCTGGGGACTGTCACATGGTCACTTCTGCACCTGACTGGATAAAGGGCTCTTTTCTGGCCAGTCAGAGGTTAAAATAAGGATACAGTCTGGAGTGCAAGTTGTGTGCAGGTGTGTATGTTCATTCTGATATCCATAAACAGCAAAAAATGAAGCAAAATCCACTTTAGGGCAGTCTTGGAGGCCTGAGTGCAATTCCCCTCCACAAAGGGCAATCCACATGTGTTATTTGAAATAGTCTCTTCTACCCACAGCATTGCCTCACACTTCTTAGATTCTAAGTCATCCCGTTTCTGGCCTATCTGGGGAAAGCTGCCTTTCCCAGGTGGTTCTTGGCCTGGCAAGCAGTCCCCTTGCCCCTGAGAAGGGCTCTGCCCTCTGCTGAAGGGAATCAAGTGGGTAGTAGCATCTTCACTCCTGGTGTCTTCCAGTGATGTGGGGGGAGGCGTTTCAGGAGACCCCAGCTTGCACTGTCTGAGGGTAGGGTCCTGGCGCTCCTGAGATCTGAATGTCCCAGCTGGACATCTGACCCCCAGCTTGGTTGGGGAAGCAATGGCTTGTGGGGTTGCTGACCCATTCCACCTAATATCCAAGGGACCTTCCTGGCATCTGAATGAAGAGGAACACCAAATGTGGCCTCAGGGCACTGAGATCCTCCAGAAGCGTTGTGTATGAGGCTGCATGTTTCTCTGCAGCCACAGGCATGTCTGGAAGCCTCTCATGCTTGTTAGTCTCCCATCCCCTTGCCCAGCCAGCTGCAAGCTCCTGGCCGAGATTTGGAGTGGAAGCAGAGTTTAGTTGTCTTGAGGGGTGGTTTCTTCTTATCCATAGATGAAAAGGCTCATGCCTTTCTCTTGCACTCTGGAGAAGCGAGATTGCTCCCTATGGAATTCGTTACTATGCACCATAGGCCACTGCTGCTTCACTGGAGGCAGGTGTTGGCAGGAAGAGCCTGGGACAATTCTGTAAAGAGATCCGAAGTCCTTTATGGCAGCTGTACCCAAAGGGCAACGATGGGAAATGGCGCTTTTGCCATCAGGCCCCTCACGGGTGGAGTCCCACAGAGGTCTGTTTTCTTCTTGCCCCATCCCGTATTGATGTGCAGCCCGTGGAGACTCTTCAGCCTCTATTACTACCAGGGTGCATCAGGGTCCCCTGTTTGCCGTCCCTGGTCACTGGGGTTGGACTCTAGAGGACAGAGCTGGGCAGCTGACTGGTGCAGTCAGAGGTCAGAGCCCCCACTTATGTACCAGTCAAATTTAGTTGGCGGCGGCAGCATCAGTGCTGGTGGAGGCAGAGGTGGTGAGAGCAGGAGCTGGCGCAACAGGGCTTGTGCCTGTGCACGGA